TTTTACTGTAGCTCCTATAGGTTAATTATCAAACTGACGGTGTACTTTGAGGCTTAACTTTATTCTATAGTGGAAAAATATTAAGAGAACAAAGAGTTCCCACTGATCCATTAGCTGCAATTTCCACTTCCAATGGAGCTTTATAAACGAAGGTCCATTTCAGCTGTTCTCCAGTCTAATAAACTGATTTGGTTGCACCTATAAAACTTTTCCGCAGTGAACAGCCCCAGTATTATGAACCATCAAAACCAAGTGCTTGTTTTTGCATTCTAAACATCGTGATGTTCACATTTCCAAGCACCAGATACATGTTTCATACTTGAAACATGACACAAGTTTAGGTGTTTACTACAGAATATCTGTCATTTTCAGATTTACAGGTTCTAATTCTTATTCACAAATTAAGCTCTTTTTTTTTTTTTTTTGAAATAGCAAATCATCCCTGTAAAATTTAAATTCATGGCTCTTACTGAAACGTCCTTCCCCAAGATCCAGTTTCTTTTCAGAGCACAGGTTTGTTTCCACTTCACTGAAATGCTACTAATAATATTCTGAAAACAAATCCCCAATGATAGTGTTCCAAGCTGATGTTCTGCTACCTTATTAAGAAGAGCCTAGAAAAAGAAATAGCTCTCTAAGTGGCAATTTGGGTTCTGAGTGCTTCTTAGAATTTTGGTGAATCCCTTTTGTTTCAGAAGAATTAAACTCTGGAATCACTTTGTGCAGCAAGTGTAACCATTATTTCCTGAACAACTTTATATACTATTGCAAAGTGAGATTCATTGTTCCATTCAAATACACTAAGACTATATGAAGAGCTAACGTGGAAAAACTGCCAGCTTGCAGGAATACAAAATAACTGCTTCTGAAACTTCTCACAGGCAGAAGAATTTTTTTACAAAAGTTAGCTTGATGCAGTATGCAGTAAGCATATGTGAGAATCTTTGGTTCTCATACATATCTATACATACATTATGCGTAACAGAAATATAGGTAGTCTTTGAAATTAACAGAAGAGGGTTTTTTCCTAATAAATGTTTTAAACTACTGTACAACCAATAGCAAACTACTGCTAGCTATTTTAAGTGACAATAATAACTTTGTTAATTATAATAAATAATATTTTAAAATTCTTTTGATCCTTTAGATTTTTATTTAAACACTGCACAGGTTTCATTCTGATTCCTGGCATCATACCACAACTGCAGTTTCTTCAGCTCAGCCAGCGGCAAGCGTTTAGGTGTCCAAAAAACCCACAAATCACATCAGTGGATCACTAAGCCTATTAACAGGCTCATTTTTCTTGCGCACCCATTGAAAACACAGCGTGCAAACCTCCCAGGATTCCACAACTTGCAGGCGGAAAGCCACCAATCTTTAAAAAGTATACCCCGTTATTGCTTTCTTTTCTTATTTAACTTGGCTGGATAAGAAGTCACTGCTCAACCTGGCAAAAGTAAATCTGGCAAACCCAGGCCTACAGTAGACATGTTTGCTTACACAGCAATGTAATTCAGAGTATAAACTTCTGGATTTCTAAGCGAGCAACCAGCATCCTTTTTGAGACAATCACTCTGGCTTAGAAGTCACCTTGCTGGGATATCTCACCAAGTGACATCAGTAAAAGCACTTTTCCCAAAGACTGTGTTATATACATACAGTGGGGAGATTTGACGGTTAATCTTTCATACAGCACTCATCAACAAGAAACTGCAAAAACTTTTACAGAGAAAGTCTGTATCATGAGAACTTCTTTGCACAGACTAACCCTATAGCAGCACTCCTGCAAACACCCAGAATAAGGCTCTGACACCCCAGCCAGTTCATTTAGAAGAACCTTGCCCAGCACTCTTCTATGTTGTGCACTGCGGCAGATTCTCACCACAATCACTAAATACAGTCAATAGTCACCACGATTACTTGCAGAACATAAAGGTAGGCACAAACAAATCTGTACAAAACCAAGATGTCTCAAGTCTGTGACCCACACTGCACAGATGGGCTTCTCTTAGGACCGCCAGTGAAACTCCTCGTAGGCGCAGGAATCTGCCACACGTAATGTTCATTACAGGGCACAGGCCAAAGTCTAACACCTGAACAATGCCAGCTTGCTTTCCAACGCTCTTTGAAGTCCAGACAAACAATTGTCACCGATATTTTTTCTTAGCACAATAAGGATCTTTCCTCCCTGAAGTTACTAAATATATACTGCTGGTGTCACAATAGCACAGATCTGCCAGCATTTCCTTTGAAATCCCTTTCTTCATAAATTTAACAGAGAAAAACACAAAGTGAAACGTAACTTCTCTCTAAGGTCAAAATAACACAGATTGTGATTTGGTTTTGCTTAGCAAGTATCTGCTGAAAAATTAAATCAAGTGAGGAAGTTTTTTTGTTCCCATTTTAACTTCCAACAGCCTCATCACCATGGCTTCTGAGTGCATTTGTTGGTTGGTTTTTTTTTTTCCTCCTAACAACTGCACATAACTCTACAGAATGTCATCTGGTAAACACTTTATTCAGAAAGTAATCTCTTTACAGTCAATGTCTCCACATTCTCCTTTTAAAAATCGTCTGATTACACTGTAATCTATTTTTGTTATATCGCATGATCTACCCTCTAAATCTACACAATAAGCTTTTCCACACCATATATTCAATAAAATTGATGCCTTTTGAGAGCATATTTACAAAATAAGCCACAAAGACTTCTTCAAACTTGCCTCCTGCATCAAGTAGTGCAATTACTTTAGGATACATACGAACACAGCATAAGATCTGAAGCAGATCTATTAACGTTCTGTTTCTCCGAAAGTTTTTGAAGGCCTTAACGTGCGCTTATGCAAACCAATGTTTAAACTATCTGCAATTATTTCGGAGAGTCATCCAATGATTAGAGCACAGACCCAGCAGCCAGGATGGCTGGATTCCATTATTGCTAACTCTGTCACTGACGCTCCATGACCTTGAGCAAGTTGGTTAACCTCACCTCAATCTGCTAATCTATGAAGGCACATATTCCACAAAGTATTTAAGTAGGCGGATAGTCACATTTAAACTGGCAGAACTACTCTGACACTTTGCAAAGACCGTGCCGAAATATGCTACTGTCTACCTCCTTACAGGGTGATGAGAAATGTAATTAGTAACTGTCTCCTGGATTCTGTAAAATGAAATAGTCTCAGAGCATTACCTATTAGCATGGATGCCTACAACATGCATAAATCATGCTGATAATGACAGCAAAATTTATTAGGACCACATTATCTTTTTCCTTTATTTTTTCAAACACTGAAAAGGTGACAGTAACAAAAAAAAATTATTCGAATGCAACTAAGAGACACGCAAAACCGGGAAAACCAAAATAACAGCTGTGCATTGTTTCCGAACCCTTCTACTGTAATGCTCAGAAGAATTCTATGGCAGACTTTCAAGGGCACATCTGCTTTAGTCTCTCTTTTCTCACTTTCAGGTTGCGTTTAATACACTAAACTGGCTGCTTTTCAAACGCACGTTGTGCTCACTGGTGCTGCGTGGCCTTTTGCCATGCCTCAGACCAGGTTCAACCACGCAGCTCCAATGCCAAGATGCCACAGACGAACTGAGGAAAACGCTCTTTCCTCAGAGACCGACGGGAAGAAAGACTTTCCGATTGGGCTCTCAAAGCGCACCTACCGAAGGCAGAGAAAGAGCAATAATTGCACACGCTTAATTGATCCTCTTTGTTCTCCGACAACGAGCAGCAGAGATAAAGGCTGAGGCATCTGCGCCCTAACGGCCTCGCTCCGCAGCCCGCGCCCTGCCCGGT